GAAGAGCCCTGCTGGATCAGACCAGTGGTCCATCCAGTCCAGCATCCTGTCTCACACAGTGGCCAGCCAGGTCCTCTGGAGGGCCAACAACAGGGCAGAGAGGTGAATGCCTTCCCCGGAGAATTACATCAGAAGAGCTCTGCCGGATCAGACCAGTGAGGGTTCATACTAGTCCAGAATCCTGTCTCACCCAGTGGCCAACCAATTCCTCTAGAGGTCCAACAACAGCACAGATGCTGAGGCCTTCCCCTGAGAAGAACATCAGAAGAAGAGCCCTGCTGGATCAGACCAGTGAGGGTCCACCCAGTCCAGCATCCTGTGCTACACGTTGGCCAACCAGTTCCTCTGGAGGGCCAACAACAGGGCAGAGAGGCCGAGGCCTTCCCCTGAGAAGAACATCAGAAGAAGAGCCCTGCTGGATCAGACCAGTGAGGGTCCATCTAGTCCAGCCTCCTGTCTCACACAGTGGCCAAACAGTTCCTCTGGAGGGCCAGCAACAGGGCAGAGGGGCAGAGACCTTCCCCAGATGTTGCCACCTGTGTTTGGGATTCCAAAGATTAGTGCCTCTGAATGTGGAGGTTCCCCTCAGTCACCATGCCTAGTAGCCACTGATATTCTCCTCTATGACTCGATCTATTTCCCTTTTAAATCCGTTTATTCCTGTGGCCCTCACTGCATCCTCTGGCAGCGAATTCTACATTTTAATCCTTCTTGGTATAAAGGAGTATTTCCTTTTGTCCGTCCTGAACCTACCGCCCCCCCTCAGCTTCACTGAATGCCCTCAAGTTCTAGTCTTTTGGGAGAGGGAGAAAAAAAGTATCTTTGTCCACAGTCTCCACCCCATGCATAATTTTAGAACCCTCTCTCATGTCCCCCCTCAGTCATTTCTTTTCTGAACTGAAAAGTCTCAGACTCTTCTCCAGCCTTTCCTTAAAGGGAAGGTGCTCCAACCCCCTCATCGTCTTGGTCTCCCACCTCTGTACTTTTTTCCAGCTCGGCAATGTCCTTTTGGAGATGCAGTGACCAGAACCATTGCAAATCACATTTGCCCCTGTTATTATTGATATTGCAAATAGATCTTGGTAGGGAGGGCGAGGTATAAATTGAATAAAATAAATAAATAAGAAGAGAAGAGGAGATTGGATTTATACCCCGCCCTTCACTACCCAAAGGAGTCTCAGAGCGGCTTCCAAACTCCTTTCCCTTCCCCTCCCCACAACAGACACCCTGTGAGGCAGGTAGGGCTGAGAGAGCTCTTGACAGAAACTGCTCTTTTTCAAGAACAGCTCTTATCAGAACTACGGCTTGCCCAAGGCCATCCAGCCAGGTGCAAGTGGAGGAGTGGGGAATCAAGCCCGGTTCTCCCAGATTAGAGTCCGAACACTTAACCACTACACCAAACTGGCTCTCAAATAAATAAATAAATAAACACATAAATAAATATTTAATTTGACTTCCACACCACGGCCAGTGTGTATGAAGCTGACCTAATGGTCACGAGTATTGCCTAGCAAAATGTTTCCAATAACATGTGTTGCATTCATCTCAGTCAATTTTTCATCATCTGGTTACTTAATGCTGTCAACGATGAAGGGAGCTGACTCCATTGTGGAGACTGAATCCGACGAAGACGGAGGTCCTTTGCCTGAATTGGAGTGGCTTGGGGTTAGGGGCCCCTCTTCCGGCCTTTGGTGGGGCGCCGTTGGTGCCAGCACCGAGGGTCAGGAGTTTGGGTGTGCTCCTGGATGCCTCAATGACAATGGAGGCCCAGGTAGCGACCACTGCCAAGGCAGCCTTTTACCAGTCCCCTTCCTCTAGCGTAATGATCTGGCTTCAGTGATTCACGCTATGGTCACCTTGAGGTACATGGGGCTGCCCTTGGGGCAACTTCGGAAGCTGCAGCTGGTGCAAAATGCGGCAGCCAGGTTGTTGATGGGTCTCCCCAGGTGGGAGCACATCCAGCCTGTGCTGAAGTCATTGCACTGGCTTCCAATAGCGTTCGGGATTCGCTTCAAGGTGCTGGTTTTGACCTTTAAAGCCCTAAATGGTCAGGGGCCTGCCTACCTGAGGGACCGCCTTTCCCCGTACATTCCTCCAAGAGCACTGCGGCCTGGAGCACAACCCCGCCTGCCCCCCCGGGCCTAGGGAGGCCAGGTTGATGGTAACCAGGACCAAGGCGTTCTCCCTGGTGGCGCCAATGCTGTGGAACAAGCTCCCTAATGAAATTAGAGCGCTACGGGACCTCCAGCAGTTCCATAGAGGGGTGAAAACTGAGCTGTTTCACCAAGCGTTTAAATAAGAACTGACTGCACTGGCTGGGTCACACTAGCACTTTACCATAGGACGCTGCCGTATTTATTTAGTTTTACTGTATTTCTTGTATTTTATATCTGTACTAGCAGTAAAGCCCGTTGGGAAAGCAATACAACGGGATCTAGAAAGAGGCTCTGGGGCAGTGCTCTGGCTTTGGGCAAACAGTGTCATTTTGCTGTGGTGACCTCAGCAGGGTATAATGACAGAGTCCACTGTTTTCTCCAGAGGAACTGATCTCTGCTACCTGAAGAGCAGTTGTAATTGTGAGTAATCTGTAGCCCTCACCTGGAGATTGGCAACAATTGTTACCCAGGACAAAATGGCTGGTTTGGAGGGTGGAGTCTATGGCATTCTACCTGTCTGAGGTCCCACCCCTCTGCAAACCCCACCCTCTCCAGGCTCCACCCCTCAAATCCCCAGGAATTTGTCAGCATGTAGTTGGCAACCCCATCTCCTTCCCAGCTAGCCACCAACCTACCATTATCTGCCCCTTTGACTTCAGCTGACTTCTGCCCTCCCTTCTGCAGAGCAGTTGTAATACTGAGTGCTCTCCAGCCCTCACCTGGAGATTGGCAACAATGGTTCCCTATGTGGGACTGACTGGTTTGGAGGGTGGAGTCTATGGCAGTGTACCTGTCTGAGGTCCCACCCCTCCTCAAACCTCACCCTCTTCAGGCTCCATCCCTCAAGTCTCCAGGAATTTCCCATCTGGAGTTGGCAACCCTATCAGGACTGGCCCCAATGTGTTTTCTCCCAAAGGCCAAAGTAGGTGACAGGACCAAGCTTAGTTGCCTACCAACAGGCACTGAGGGGAATGTAGGGTTGCCAGCTCTAAGGAGGGAAATACCTGGAGGTTTGGGGGGTGGATTCTGTAGAGGGCCGGGCGACGGAGGCATCGGCCTTCTGTCGCCCGCCTTGCCCCCCCAATCTCGGCCCGGGCACCCGCGGCTCCCACCAGCGGCCGCCCGACTCCAGACTCCCCCGCGGCCACTCCAGCCAGGCGACGGAGGCATCGGC